GTGTGTGTGTGTGTGTGTGTGTGTGTGTGTGTGTGTGTGTGTGTGTGTGTGTGTGTGTGTAATTAATTCACATGGTTTTCTAACAGACTACAAGGATTCAGTCAGCACTATTGTCTCACCCTCCTGTTTCATCTCCCTCTTTCTTTCTCTCTCACCTCTTTTCCCCATCCTTTCTTACTCTGCAGCAAAAAACTGCTCCTACTTCAAACACTTTACGTCGGGGGAGGAAGCTGAAGTTTTTGAAGTCAAGACCCAGAAAGGTGGGTGTTTCCTCAAAGCCACACAGGCTACATGTGTTACAACAGCATCCAACTCTGAAAAAAACAGGCAGAACGCTGTGGTTTGCCTTTTGATTTTCCATATAATAAGATAAAGCTTTAACATAAATACAATGCACACCATTTCGCTCAGAAATCAGATGAGAAATGAATCTTCTACAGCCTCAGATTTGATCTTTTTATCCCTTTTGTATTTTCAAAGTAAATGTGATTCAGTGAAAAAGCGACTCTCTTCTTATGATGACAAGCTGATGCTTTTAACTTCAGGTAGAGAGAAAGACACACTGCACACAGACATAAAGATATACATTTAGAGAACACTGCTTTAGATAAACGTTATAGGTACGCTCAACAGGTACAGTATATGTATAAATGCACTACACAGTATACACTATATATTCTCAGTTTTATAATTCAGGTGCTTTAGGTCCCATCTCCATAGGTGTATGAAATCAAGCATCTAGCCATGAAGTCAGCCTTTACAAACATCTATTAAAAAATGGGTCACTCTAAAAAGCACATTGAATTTCTCTCTTCCTAGATTTTCCATCACCAACTGAGTGCTGTGTTATATGGAAGTGTTTAGCCACAAATAGGCAAACCAGGGTTGCCATGGTGTGTATAAGTCACCGTTACTTTGCTGACTCAAAGACTGCAGAGTCACAAACCTCCTGCAGCCTTAACACTGGCAAAACTGTCTGCCAGGAGCTTCATAGCAGGGGTTTGAATGGCTGAGCAGCTCCTGTAGGTGTAATTTGTAGCTTGCCAAGTACTTTTGTCCATATAGTGTAAAGACAGGGCAGGACATTTACAGTACCCTGTAAACACTAATGAAATTTGCTAATATCAAGAATATTTTAAAAATAGATGAATGGGAAAAACAAGAATTCATAGTTTTATCTTGTAGTAGAATAATACAAGATAAATATACTTTCATATGATAATAATATGTGCAGAAATACATGAAAAAATATATGTAAAATGTATAGTTGCTGCTTTATGTGTGGATTTTTATGGTGTATTGAGCCATGTTTGCCTTCTACAGATTCATGCTTTATTATATGACTCCATGTAAAGGCATTTATAATATGTTTCATACAAGTATGGCTGGAAACATCACTTACAACACTGAGACCAAAAAACCCCCAAATGCAATAAACAATATATATGATTTTTTTTAAAGTCTAAAAAGAAATTATAACAGAAAACTTTACGTAGAATAAAATACAAGAAACAACATCAAATTTAGACTGTCTGAAAACACCTGTTCAGCAGTGAGGCACAAACAGGTAACTGTGTCTGAAATGTACAAACACTGGGATGCATTCACATACCTTCATACACACAGACAGACAAAAGTCCTGAAAAACAACCTGCACTGGAAAGACGGAGTGTAAGGTTGTTTTACACTCGGTGTTATTCCCCAGCCGGGGTGCTGAAATGGAATAGGACGCTCCAAGGATCATTTGAGTCACAGCTGGAGTGTTACAGAGAAGAAAAGAATAGATTATCTTTATCTGGAAAACAGACAAAATAGAAGAGGGCGGGAAGAGAGCGACAAGTTCTAATCATCTTGTTATAAGCCTTCAGTATCTTATCTGTCATGCAAGCGGCATTATTGCCAGTTTGGATAAATGGCTGTTGTTTTAAAAGTGGGGCTAATTTAAAGGCTAATTATCTGTGACACAACTCGGCTGAGCGCAATACTGAAACAATTATTATGTAAACGATACTGTAATCCTCCCCTTCTGTTCCTACCCACTGTCTCGGTTTTTAATCACCTCCACTTTCTCTTCTTCCCCTGCTCTCAAAGACGACCGTGTTTACTGTATTTTTCCCTCTCTTCGTTTCCCCTTTTCGTTCATCTACTTCTTACTAATTTCTACTAATTTTTTTCTTCTCTTTCTGCAGAGTACAATATCTCAGCAGCAGCCATTGCCATCTTCAGTCTGTTCTTCATGATCCTGGGCACCCTGTGTGTAATCTTCTCCTTTGGGAAAGGGCGGGACTATCTGCTCCGGCCTGCTGGGATGTTTTTTGCCTTTGCAGGTCAGCTATTACAGATGATTTTGCCTTGTATTTACAGCTCAGTATGAGCTGTGTCATTGTCATTGTGTTGCACACCCTCTTCACTGGTGATAAATGTTACTTATGCAGAGTTAATAAAATTGTTTCATGTTTGTGAGAGACAGAGAGAGCGAGGTGTCAAATGCCGATAGAGTTGATGTTTCTCTGAGGTGACAATTTCAAATATCTAAGTGTTAAATTACCTATGATTGGTGTGAGCGCCGATCTGTTCCAAACTTAAAATAAAACTGACAATCTTCTAGTATAAACGAGAAACTGTGACAGCGTTTGACTGAACCGTCTTGACAACACAAATGGCATGAATGCAAATGAAGCATCTGCTTTTTCTGAAGCCGATTATAACCAGTTCTCTCTTTCTGGCACGCAGGCCTTTGCATCATCATCTCTGTCGAAGTAATGCGCCAGTCTGTGAAGCGCATGATCGCCAGTGATGAGACCATCTGGATTGAATACTACTACTCCTGGTCATTTACCTGCGCCTGTGCCTCCTTTACGCTGCTCATCCTCAGTGGAGTCGCCCTGCTCCTCATCTCCATGCCTCACATGCCACGTAACCCCTGGGAGACATGCATGGACGCTGAGCCTGACACCTTAGATTAGCCACAGGTGATGTAACAGCTATATCTTTTAAAAAAAAACAAAGAAAAAAAACACACACACTCTCACACACACAAACAACTGTAACTATAACCAACTTTACTCTGAAAGGAGATGTTTTCTCTTTCTGTTATTATTGCGATCAATTTTCCAAAGCATTAAAAGATTTTCTGCATCATTTCTCATGATCACATCCATTGGTTTCATTCAGTGTTTATACCAAAATATTAACACAAAATATCAACACGTTGTAGAACAATTGGGACCAAGAACTGTTTAAAAGTTGGTAAGTTATATCTGAGATCTGAGACTGATTTGCCAAGACTCATCTTTATTCTGTATTTCTAAAAGCTCCTATTTTTCTTAAAATTCATATTTTCAAGTAACTATGACTTCGGTTACAGTACCAGAAAGAAGTAAATATCGTTGTGACAATAAATAAATCAATGATTGGCAAAAGCTGTGTGACATCTGAAGATTGGATTCCTTCAAACAGTCCCAGGCTTTTTTTTTTTCGTCATTTTTGTCTTTATGTCAACCAGTAAATCATTCCTGAAATGTTACTGCATTAAAGGAAATTAAGTCTGAAGTTTTTCTGCTTAGCCTATATTTGGCTAGTGCCGACATGTCAGCATCTTTCACACAAACTACAGGCAGCCAATGCAGTGTCTTACTGACCAAAGCAATTGTAAGGAGGATTTTGGTGCAACACTGTATAGTTCTGTGTGACCAATTTACCCCAGTGACAGCCAGAAACCTCGAGCAACAATTCACCAATCAGTCAGGCACCAGTGGTTGCTAGGCCGTCACCAGCTGGTCTCAAGGCCTGTGTGACTGGGTCTTCAGGGGTCACTGTCAAGAGCCTATATAATGCCAGGTTTTGATGAGGTGTAAATATAATAGATCAGCAGTTTGATTTTTTAATACTGGATAACAAGTGGATGGCTATAACTGAGGAATGAATCAGCCTAAAGTATTATGGTATGCTTTGTACAAATGTGGAAGAAGTAACACATTAAAAAAAACAAACATCTGGAATGCTCTTTATGTCCTGTGTAGACAGATTCTTTTTCATTTGCACATCACATTTAGTTGTTTGTGACACATTAGCCTGTAAAGAAGTCCAAACTGCTGGGCAGTTACATATACATTCATAATGCATCTGGTCATTGGTGATTTATCTGACACCAGTACTGTCCAACTGCAGTAAATCGAGTCCTTATTAAAGTAAGATCATTTTCAAATGCATTATTATACTGAAATTCGACAAATAAATCAGAAAAAGAAAGACTGACTTTTTTTTCTTTTAAGAAAGACTGAACTAAATCTTTACCCCACCACAACAGATAGGAAGAGTGAGCTTACACGCTTTAATGAGTTGTAATGGTCGGCAGCCTTTTCATTCCTCCAACTTTCTACAATCGATCTGTGCCATTGATCATCGTGAGAGAGACACCGCATCCCGGATACTCCCTTGTTGACATAAGTCATTGATTTTTGAGTCACTGTTCAAGATGTCTGGTGATTTAGGTCTAGCAGCTCTGATCCATACTGTTGTCAATAATATCTGCTGAACCTCTGGCCTGTGCTTTGTATGTTAGAAATGTTCTGTTGTTAGTCGAGACCCAGAAAAAAGTAGTTAAAACACTGCAAACATCAATTTTAAGAACATCGCTGATTATTTATATATAACAGCAATATCTTACTCGATATATAAAGAATTTGGGTGGTGGTCCCAATACTTAGTTTCAGGTACAGTACCTGAAACTAAACAGTTATCCTAGAATAAAATGCTGGACTGATCTTCTAAACTTGAAAACTAGTGACACACTAGAACAATGTGGTTTCTTTTCTTCAGTTGTCTGCATGAGTGATGGGCAAGGTGTCTGTGCAGTCAGATTATGGGAACCAGCAGAACACAGCAAGATCAAAATTATACAGTGTTCAATGAGTGCTGTATGATTTATTGAATGAACTGGGGGATCAGGTCTGCAACCAATCGCATTCTTTGGTGCATCAAGACGGTGATAAAATGGCAATAAGATTGAGTCAATCTGTTATCAGTTTGCAGCTGAATAGGTTCAAGTTGGCAGTTACATCTGTTTGTGATAATATGGCAATCACAAATGTGTTACCGTATGCTGCAAACCTGTTGTTTATGTACACAGAAATTCATATTAACTACTTACATTCAGAATTCATCCAGAACCTCGTAGATATGAAAGAGACATTCACAAATAGTGACATAGTTGCTGCTGGACAGCAATCTACCAGCAGCATGACACACGCCCTCGGCAACTTCACGTTTATATAAGAATAGAACCAGAATAAAACCAGTTGGCAACCAGCTGAGTCGTGTCCCCTGTTGACTGAAATGTTTTGGCAATCTGTCTGTGTTTATGCATTAGAAGGCAATTATTTGCACTCAGTCCAAGTTAGACCGCAGTTACTTGGAGACCAGTTTCCTCCCACCAGGTAGCCTGTGCGATCATCCTGAAAGTGGTCACGGAGAGTGGTCACCAAGAGGTTTAGGGTGTTGCACGTTCAACCTCGGAGCAACCAGCTGGTCATCACAGCTACTTGCAATCTTAGTCTGCAAGTCACCCCCCCCAAACAAGATAAAAATCTGTGCAATCACCAGGCAACCACTGATTTTAACCAGTCATTTATGAGTATACTACAGGTTGCCATACTATTTTTACTCCAGTGTGACTAAGCCATAACAGCAGCTCCAGCCTATCAATCCACTGCTTATTTATTAACTATTTAGGGGATTGTCACTTACAACTTATCAGTTGTGAACATTTAAAAATCTACATTAATTTAATAATAATAATTATAATTTATCAATAGTCCTAGTGCTACCTAACAACAGCTGGTTGAATTAACAAGTGACAAAAACTGTCCAAACTAAAGAGCCAAAGCTTTTGTCTACCTTTAAACGGGATCGGCCATCTTTCCAGTTTTGCTCCAGATAGTAATGTTGTTTTAAAAGCAAAAACAAAACAAAACAGGAAGACCATTAAGATTTCTGTTTGTTTGTTTTTTCATTCCAGTGCAGTATTCACATTTTTGTTGGGATTATTTTCCATTATGGGGTCACAAATATTTAGAATAAGTCGTGTTTTTTTTAAAGTATTGTCATTGAATGTAAAATAGTAATTCGAATGATGAAGAATTTTATATCTTAGCTGTCTAAAGAAAACCGTGATCGGAAAGATGTGGCTTTTTATTCAGTTTCACAGATGAAATGAATCAGAGATGATCTCTGCAACAACAAAAACTCCAATGCCTGATTTTACCTGACGGCAGTCGTTTTGTAACAAAATGTTAACCAAAAAAAAAAACTGTCTACATCTTATATGTTATTTCTCAGTGAGTCACTCAGCCACGGGGTTATTCAGCTGGTGCAGGTACAGCAAAATTAAAGATCCCTGAATGATGATGCTTCACTCAAGAACACAAGAAGACATTATTACTTTTATCTCTGAGGTCTTTCTGAGAAAGAACAATCCCATTTTCCTTTCACCAGTACAATATCCACCTTTGTATTTTAGGAATATTAAATAAAACTTGCATGTGTCTTCATTTTGTTAACCACTAATGAGGATGTGAAATGATCCTGTGACTGAATCTGGACATCACATTTTTAAAATAATTAACAGCCAAAGAATGACTCAAGACATGTATAATAATAATAATAATAATATGTATAATAAAGCATTTATAACAGTTCTGTGAAAAAAGACTGACTCAGTGTTAATACAGTAATTATATAAACAAGGTGATTTTTACTTTTGATTTGTAAAATTGCTCTTATCTGTCAGTGATTAGCTTTTTTAAAGAATAAGATCATGTTCATCAAAAAGTTGAGTAAAGCTTTTTAATTCTTTGTTTTTGTGCAAGTAAATGTTGAGTTTTTACATTTTTGGGGGGCATATTCTTCCACATTGACCTTCAAATGTCTACTAATTTATTACTCATGCTCAATCATGTTAGTGCCTCTGTACTTACATTACTGTTGAAATCATATTAATACTAATAAAACAGGGCCTTTCCCTCCTATTATGTTTTGATATGTTTAGCTTTAGAGTGACAAAGTGGATTGTTTATTTATTTCAAAATAAAAGTGGTATTTTAAGTCATTTCTTGACCAAACATTTCATTGTATTTCCGTTTTGTTTGTTTTTTTCACTTTGCCTTTACAGTTACAGTGTCTTCAGCACCACGGAGTCTTTACCTTACAGTATAAAGCAACTTGAGACATTTGTTACTGTGGTACAATCATAATAACGCTGAATTAATAGTGAACCGCGTTCAGGGAAGCTTTCAACCAGAAAATGTGCTTGAATTGAGAGACAAACCTACTGGAAAGTCTTCAGACGCCTAACATTCAGCAAGTTAAGGTTTTTCAGGAGTGGATGTAATGGATGGATGAAAATCTTTAAATCATTCATGACATACTTACCTTACAAGAATGAGAACAGCATTGGTAGAGCATATACTAAGAGCACCCATGTGCTTTCTACATCCTACATTTGTTTGATTTTAGATTTTCCGTCATAGTTAATTAAGCAACTGCAATGATGCCTTTAGGAGTAAATTCCACTTTATCATTGCATCCCACTTATAGTTAGACTTTCGATTGTCTTTGGTTACAAAAAAAAGTTAATACAATGTTTGTTGAACTGCTTTTATATTGTAGAGAAGCACAACTGTCCAGTGAGAACTGAGAACTGAACTTGGACTGATTTAGCTCCCCAGTCACTTCATTAGTGACACCTGTCCAACTGCATGTTAAGGCAAATATTCAATCAGCCAATCACATGGCAGCAAGTCAATGCATTTAGACATCTGAGCATCAGAGTAGGAAAGACAGTGATTTAAGAGACTTTGAACATGGCATGGTTGTTGATGCCAGAGAGGCTGGCGTGAGCATTTCAGACATGCTGATCTACTGGGATTTTCCCACACAGCCATCTGTGGGGTTCAGAGAGAATGGTTTGAAAAAGAGAAAAATATTCAGCCTTGTTGCTGCCAGAGATCAGAGGAGTATGTGGTCAGACTGCTTCAAGCTGAGAGGAAGGCAACAGTTATTATAATAACCGAGGAATGAAGACGAGTATCTTGTCTTCCTTTTAGTTGCTGTACCTGTGCCACTCCTGTCTGCTAAGAACAGAAAACAAAGGCAATAATTGCAACATTCTCACCAAAATTGAGCAAATTAGTGACAGTTGCTTGATCCGATGAGTCATCTT